AATTCATATCATACCATAACAAACTCTTCAAAACAAAAAACACCAGTACTTACAAAAATATAATAAGTCGGCCAAAAGCGTTAGGAAAACTAATGTGAGCGTAGACGTACGTGGCGTATGGAGGACGAAACTCAGGGCGCTTTCTATCTATCTAGCAGCATTTTGTGCAAGCCATGAGGGCGTTACAGCTACAGCAATAGCCATCGTGGCATGTTGGCTCAACCTTGCACCAAAGATTTTTCTTTGTACTTTTTTTTTTTTGAATTGTGGCTTGGCCGCCACCCAACTCTGCAAATGCTGCAGTTAAGTCAAACTGATGTCCGATGCGATGCAATAATAATATTCTTAATTTAATTTACATGTGGTATTACTTTCTTAATTAGCGCGCGCTTCATGTTGAAATATACATGTTTGAAAACTAATTCTTAACTGCAATTTAGTTACGGTATTACTACTCACGAGGATTAACATCGGCGTGGTGAGAGCGAGGGAACGGGAGTGCAGCCGTGGAGTGATGAGGCAGGACGACCAACACGAGCACAAGGACAGAAACGCCGATCATCAGCAGCGCCGGAGCTGCAGCTAATTTCTTGTTGTAGTTGGAGTTCATCCTCACAAGCGAAGCGAGCAAATGTGTGTCAGTGTGTGACTTTGTATTTGCGATGCTAATTAATAAACGAGAGGCCGGTGAGGATTTATATAATAGACTACATTCAAAAAAAACAGTACTGCCGTCTTGTGGTATCGACAGTGTTGCCGTCCACAGGGAGATGGATGCTTTTCTGAGTTTAGATTATGGTTTTGGGTTACCCAGAGAGAACGCCTAGCTAGCAAAAAAACAGTAGTGGGTCTAGTTTTCTCCCCGCCTTCCGTGACGGGCTCCTATCTTAACCTACTTAACCAAACATCAAGTGAAGTAGACAATTTCAATTTCCAAGAAGGTTCCAACTTCCATGCATCCTGTTTACACCTAAAATATTTTGTCTTAAATATAAAATTATTGCGGCGTCGCGCGAGGTTAGCGAACGATGTCGCGCAAGCTAAACAACATCACAATGGAGAGCGATGTCACGATCGCGAGTTCAGCGGTATTGCGAGTTTAGCAACGCTGCCAAGCTCAACGACGTCACGAGCTCAACGATGTCGCGAATAAAGTTGTGAGGTTTGAAGTATCTTGAATTAAGTTGGTCGGCCCTAGCATATAGGGGACGCATCTCATTGAACAAGGTTTGTGGGATGACATAAGGATGATATCACATGTTGTCGTTGCGTCATAATGAATCCTAAGCCTTGGTACTTATTGATCTTTTTTTTTTTTTTTTGAGATTTTCAACTAATGAGTGCTTGGATTACCCAGTAACAACGGTCCTAAACTCCTAATCAAAACCAACCCACACACCCTAAATGGCTTCAGGATAGGAGGAGTGGGCGCCATTTCCTGTTTATCGAACCTTACCTTCTTAGCTTGTTTTGTATCCCGTCTTTCCATCTTGCATCCCTTCCACCCATCTAGGAGTGTCAGTTCGAGTCGGGTTCGGTTACCCAAACCAAAACTCGAAAAAATCTGAAAACCCGAAACCAAAAATCACTAAAACCAAACCCGAACCCGATAAGGACTTGCAGGTTCCGGTTACCCGAAATCAGAAAATTTCTTATCAGGTTCGGGTTCGGTTAAAGCAAAACCAAAATCCGAACACCTAAAAATACGGGCTGAGTTCTATTCATTGGAGGTTTTTAGCCGGAACCCGAAAAACTGATAAGCAAAACCGAACCCGAAACTGAAAAACCCGAAACCCGAAACGAACCCGAAAAACCGAAAATGTATATAATCGGATCGGTTTCGGATAAACCCAAAAAACCGAACCCGAATTGACACCCTTACACCCATCCATGACCATGTCACTTTGACGTGATACATTCCTTTGCCTTCCTTTACTCACCAAATCTTCTTTTGCAATACCTTTCCCATAACCTTTCCCATAAACCACAACTAGTATATCAATAAGCTTTTAATAGACGTAGGCAATGTTCTTGTACTATTGGATTCCTCATGGGTATGTTTTTTTTTTATGGTTTTGAACGTACAAAGCAACCTAAGAAAGATTGGATCAAGCTTGAAGAACTTTTGAGGACCAAATGAGCTTAAAAGGAGAAGTTTAAGGAGTTTTCACGAGAAAGAAGTTGTCCAATGACGAGTAAGTCAACTATAAGTTGTTAGAATATGTCAAGACGATCCATAAGAGAAAGAATCGACCCAATCTGAAGAAGGAATGCGCGGCGGTCCAAGCAACAGGTCCAACCGCCGGTCCCTTATATTGCAGCCCAAATCTTCAAGAACAGAATTCCAAATATCAATAAGCCCAACCCACAAAGAAATAGAGCGGCGGGTCCAACCGACACTCGCAGCCTTCCCTATGCTTTGTTGACAAAGTTTTCTTAGTCTACTAGGTTTGGGAGACTCTTTTCTAGATGGTTTAGGATGTTTTAGGTCGGATTCTCCCCTATAAATAGAAGGCATGGGTGACTCGCTACGACACAACACCTAACAATGGCCAAGTGTAACCAATGGAAGGGATTGAAGTATAGTGGCTCAAGTGATAAATATCGAATCCACAGGTCTCTAGAGTTACTATTACTCAGCTTAAGTTTATTATTTAGCAAACCAGATTAAGATGAAAGAACTACGTTAGAATATTACTTGAATTTGATTTGGGTTTGTTATGTGTTTTAGGCCTATTTAGTTTGGGTTTGTGTTTGGGCTTTGCTTGACCTTTTCCTTGTATGTTTGGGAAAAGGTATTTGGTTTTCTGTTTGGGATTAGGAGAAGAGTTCTATAAATACTCTTCATCACCCTAGTATGTAGTAGGGTCAGTCAGGTTAGTTTGTTTGGTTTGTCCGTTTGGAATTTGGTTTGTAACCTGTACTCTCCTCAAATTAGTGAAATTTGTTCCCCCCTGCCCGTGGATTAGCTAGCACACATTGTGTTAGTGAACCACGTTAAATTTGTGTTCGTTCGTGTTGGTTTGGATTATCGATTGCACGCTTCTGTTCTGACAAACTAAAACTACTCTAGCAAACTACAGTTAAAGTTAATCTAATTACAGGTTGGGAACTCACTTAGGTATGATTCCCCCTAGCCACTAGCCAGACTAACGATTGATGATTTCTAACTTGTTTCACTTTCATTCACAATGTGGAGAATCCTTGACTAGACCTTGAGTCTCGACTAAAGGAACAAGGCCCTCTTGAGTCAATTGCCTAGAGGGACGTATCCTTCTCTAGAACAACTGATCAAGGCGTTCTGAACTAGACTCCCTCTATCGAAAGAGGTTCTCAATCGATACAAAGCAGTGAATCAACCCTCGACTAAATCAATCGATCCACTACTATCAATCTATGGTGCTCTATTGACCTAATCAGGTATTCCCTCTCATAGGATCAAAGCAGAATCAATAATCTCGACTAAAGCAGAATTGAATCATGAAAACATGCATAGATTGAATATGAACTCAAGATTATCAAGTCAGAGTACTCATAGAATCATCCAATCAAACAAACATAGCTAGGGTTCCTCAAAACCTACGTGAAGGGAAGTTACTCCATAGAGAAGAGAGAGACTGCAGTAAGAATCTTCAGATAATCAGTCTTCAAGTCCGGGCTTGTTCCTCGAGCTTCCAAGGCAAAGAAATCCTCCAATTCCACTCTTAGAATGCCCTCAGATCGCCCTTTCTCTCTTTGGTTCGTCCCTTGAGTGTTTGGGATCCAAAATCCAGCTCCCCCCTTTCCTTTGGCTGAAAATCGAGTTTTAAACAGAAATTCCCGATCACGCGGCCAGGCCACACGGCCGTGTGGCTTTCCCAGCTGCCCGTGTGAAGGCTCGGTGATTTCTACACGGCCACGACCCACACGGCCGTGTGGAGTTTCAGGATGCCCGTGTGGCTTGCTTAGCCTCTGTTTAATGCTTCGTTTCTCCCTTGTCCGGATTCCAAATCAGTCCCCGTTTGATCCTAGACGCTCGTAGTCTCGTCCTCTTTCTTTTCATGACAAGCTTGCATGATTCTTTGTCCATAAAGTGAGGTATAAATCCATTCTTCTTCAGGTCATGCCCGAGTTTCTTCTCCCGAATCGTCAATTGATCTCTGATTGATTTGAAACTTGCGCCTATGCTTCACTTTATGTGCTAGGACCTGAAATGTGACAAAGGAACACAACCTAGCATAAAATAGGACAAAGACGCAATAATTCAAGCTCAAACAATCAAGAAACAAAGGGGAAAACATGTGCAAATACCGAGTCATCAAATCCCCCCACACTTAACTGTTTGCTTGTCCCCAAGCAAACCTAACTCAAACCAATGCAGCTCTCCAGACCTCTATATCAACATACAACCTCGATCGTCGGTAGAGGATTTCCTAGATCATATAGCAGCTTACGAGGTCAACTGGTCTTCTAAGACGTTCCCTATCTCTCTCAATGCGAGTACTAGACTCAAGCCAGGAACATGAGAAGAAGTAGGAGTAAGACAGTTAGTTCATGGACAAAGGGACTCACACCATTCACAACCAAGGACTCGTTGTACCGGGGTGCTCTTTCACTTCATTTCACCGTTGGAACCCCTTTTCACTTTCATTTACATTTCTTTTTCTCTTTTTTTTTTCTTCATTCACTTGGCGGGGGTTCCAACTGCAGTCTTTTGCACGGTCGACCCTTATTAGTCGAGCAAGAGCAATTTTTGTACATCTAGCGCTCACCAGAGTACTTCTTTTAACTCCTTTTCCTCAACTCGTGTGGAGGGTCAATGAAATCAAGGGGGGTCGGAAGCTCTATCCGTGACCTTAAAAACACATCCTCAAGTAGGCAAACCGTTCAACGAGTGGAAGTTTTACTTGCACTAGAGACAACTTAGCTTCACCTTGTAGGAGTACCCCACTAAGGATCACTAAAATCTCTTCCAAAACCCGATCTGGTGCAATGAACGGTGCCGCGCACGTTGGGCTTACCCCATGTTTAAGATTTTATGATTTTGACATGGAGGACCAACTGCTTTTCATTTTTCACATGAGCACCCTGTTCGATACACGAGTCCATAACACAATCCAAACAGAGTCACCATTACCACATGAATTCAACGGTCTTAGCTCCACTAATTCACAAAATCAACTGGCACAGCAGAGAGCTAGATAGGAAAAATCTTATACTTCAACATCCTCCATAGTGCTACACTACCTCCCTAGGTTGCACATTACTATAGATACTGTCAATTCAAAGCATACTGAGCAGATAATTTGCAAGGAAACACGTACTTGGAGCCCTCAAATTTAAAAATTTGGACAGTGGACTAGGCTCCAAGCACACAAACAGCCAAACATTCACCCGCATACATAATCGAACATCCCTCCACACTTAAGCACGACATTGTCCTCAATGGAGGAAAGATAAGGAGGGTAGAACGAAGTTACCAGATCCAGGGTGAATGATGGTGGACGGGGCAGGCGGTGTATTCCAGGAGGAGAGAGTGGTCAGACCACAAACACCACACAAAATCTCACAAAGGTTGAGTTATTGACTCTAAAATCAAATAACAAAACTGACTCAACCGAGGAGAAAAAGAGAAAGAAATGCAAACCGACTGGTTAGGTGGCCTCCTAACAAGCGCTTCTTTCACGTCGTGAGCCGGACGATGGCTCCTAAGTTTCGGTCCACCCCAAAAACTCCTTGAAGTTGAGGTTCTCGTCAATGAGGTGGAGTCTCAAGTCACGAGCATGTGGTATCACTGGTGATGGAAGCTCGTGCACTTGATACGGATGAAGTCTCCACCTTCGAGACCTTTTCTTCTCTTCTCTCGTCTCATTGCCCCAAACCAGATATGACAGCATCGATTGACCACCATCGCGTCCACCAAGAGGGACCGATGTCGATGTGGCCTTGGTCTGGCAAAGAGACACTGCAAATGGGTCCTTGCTAAGTAGTTCCTCGAAGTTTGGTGGGTATATTAATTGTATTATAGGGCCGGTGCAAGCCTCTTCCACCTCAACTTCATCCTCAGCCTGGACACCAATTGCTTCTTCAACCTCCCTTTCTTCTTCATGTGGTATCACCCCTGGGAAATGATCAAGAACTCCTCCTGCTTTACTTTCGTCATCCTCCACAACTTCTTTCTGCACCCTTTCTTGCTCTTCTTCTTCTAGCACGGATTGGAGAGCAAGTTGCCAAGCAATTTCTTTCATGAGATCTTCTTGCATCTCCTCACTCATGCCCGCCTCTTCAAAGCTCAGTTTGGGATGCGGGAAGGTGTGGTCGGCTATGATATGACATTCCTGAACATGATCATCACGGGAGCTCTCCGTGACAACTTCAGTGTGATCCACTATGTCCTTGTAGCCTTCTTCTTCCTCCTCCTCTTTTTGTATGGTAGCAGAAGGGTGATCTGGAGCAGGTTGTGCGAAAGATCGCTCAAGATCATCGGCGCTCTTCTTAAGGCTCAGGAGGATCTCCTCTATTTCACGATAGGCCTGGACACAATGATCCATCCTGGAGCATGATCTCTCACAATCTCGAGCAAAGTGTTCCATGAGAAGCCTCAATGGCCCGTGAAGGCCGCCATGGGTAACTCCAGCGCCGATGGCCCTTCTGGTTGTGGGAGAAATTCTTCTTCGTAATGAGGTTGTTCTTTATTTGCCCAAGGGTCCGGTTGTTCTCCGTAGTAAGGGGGTTGGTACTGGAACCCGAATCCATAGTCTTCTCCTCCTTGATTGCTCTAGGGAGTCTCGGGGTAATACCACTCGGATGGTGGTGGATACCCCCAATGATTGGAGAAGCCATGAGGATCCATGATTCAAATCTGCACCAACAGAAACAAAAACACCCAAGTGAAAAGCAAGGGTGGAAAAGAAAAGAAAAGAAAAACGCTAAAGTAACAAACTTCTGCCTTTCCTAATACTCTAGAAAGTCCCCGGCAACGGCACCAAAAACTTGACTCGCTACGACACAACACCTAACAATGGCCAAGTGTAACCAATGGAAGGGACTGCAGTATAGTGGCTCAAGTGATAAATATCGAATCCACGGGTCTCTAGAGTTACTATTACTCAGCTTAAGTTTATTATTTCGCAAACCAGATTAAGATGAAAGAACTAAAACTACTCTAGCAAACTACAGTTAAAGTTAATCTAATTACAGGTTGGGAACTCACTTAGGTATGATTCCCCCTAGCCACTAGCCAGACTAACGATTGATGATTTATAACTTGTTTCACTTTCATTCACAATGCGGAGAATCCTTGACTAGACCTTGAGTCTCGACTAAAGGAACAAGGCCCTCTTGAGTCAATTGCCTAGAGGGACATATCCTTCTCTAGAACAACTAATCAAGGCGTTCTGAACTAGACTCCCTCTATCGAAAGAGGTTCTCAATCGATACAAAGCAGTGAATCAATCCTCGACTAAAGCAATCGATCCACTACTATCAATCTATGGTGCTCTATTGACCTAATCAGGTATTCCCTCTCATAGGATCAAAGCAGAATCAATAATCTCGACTAAAGCAGAATTGAATCATGAAAACATGCATAGATTGAATATGAACTCAAGATTATCAAGTCAGAGTACTCATACAATCATCCAATCAAACAAACATAGCTAGGGTTCCTCAAAACCTAAGTGAAGGGAAGTTACTCCATAGAGAAGAGAGAGACTGCAGTAAGAATCTTCAGATGATCAGTCTTCAAGTCCGGGCTTGTTCCTCGAGCTTCCAAGGCGAAGAAATCCTCCAATTCCACTCTTAGAATGCCCTCAGATCACCCTTTCTCTCTTTGGTTCGTCCCTTGGGTGTTTGGGATCCAAAACCCAGCTCCCCCCTTTCCTTTGGCTGAAAATCGAGTTTTAAACAGAAATTCCCGATCACGCGGCCAGGACACACGGCCGTGTGGCTTTCCCAGCTGCCCGTGTGAAGGCTCAGTGATTTCTACACGGCCACGACCCACACGGCCGTGTAAAGTTCCAGGCTGCCCGTGTGGCTTGCTCAGCCTCTGTTTAATGCTTTGTTTCTCCCTCGTCCGGATTCCGAATCAGTCCCCATTTGATCCCAGACGCTCGTAGTCTCGTCCTCTTTCTCTTCATGACAAGCTTGCATGATTGTTTGTCCATAAAGTGAGGTAGAAATCCATTCTTCTTCAGGTCATGCCCGAGTTTCTTCTCCCGAATCGTCAATTGATCTCTGATTGATTTGAAGAACGAAGAAGAAGGCCACATTGCTCCTGTTGGCACTGGCGGAGCTCCTCCCAAGCAGGCGGAAGAAGAACGAAGAAGAAGGCCACATTGCTCCTGTTGGCGTCGACCAGCAACAAGGACACAAAAAATAGCTTTCATGTATATATTTATTGTTACCATTTGTGCGTATACTTATAAATATATTGATTGCCATCAGGGTTTTGCAGCAAAAGCATCGTGTCAGGGCCTGACAGAATTGAAGAACAGCAAATTCATATGGAAGAAGGATTGCGGAAGAAGAAGAAACAAGTCGTTTCAGTAGAGTTTCTAGTACTAAAGGTGCTGTGACACCGTTTCTATTATTGTTGAGTATTAGCCGTTAAGACACTGTTAGTGTTTAAACTCAGCCAGTGTCAAAGAGACACTTGGCAACTATCTGTAAACCCAGATTATGAGCTGATATAAAAGAGCAGAGCAGCACACTGCTGACTCTGTAATTGTTCGGCCATTTCTCAACCCTAAACATAGAAATTGTCATGGTATCAGAGCGGCTGTCCTAGGGCCGATTCCGCGACGCGATGTCGGAGCAAACCGAGGCTGAATTGACTGATGAAGCTTGGCGTGCTGGTGGCATCTTCAACAACACGAATTCTCAGTTTGGGACTGCTTTAGGTGACCAGAGCGGCAACAATGGAGTCATCGTCTTTGGTAACCCTCTATACCTCGACCCAAATGAGAATTTCACACAACCCATTTCTCTAAGTCGTTGGATGGGACTAATTACTCTATGTGGAGTAGATCCATGAAGAAGGCACTGAAGATGAAGCACAAAATGTGTTTCATTGATGGATCTATGGCGATTCCAGCCAAAAACGATCCAAGCTATCTCTTGTGGGATAGTTGCAATATAGCTGTGGTTACATGGATTCTTAATACACTCCAGAAATACATCAAGAGGTCGGTTATGAGTCATGAGAATGCCAAAACCTTGTGGGATGAACTTCATCGTAGATTTGGTCAGTTGAATGCTAATAGATTGACAAATCTAGAAGATGATATACATCGATGCAAACAGGGTTCCATGACTATTACTCAATACTACACTTTGATCAAAGGTTTATGGGATGAATACTCAGAATACAGTCCTATTGTTGAGTGCAATTGTATCCCAGGAAACCCAGTTCCTGCACTGTAGTGGTGGCATATAATCAGAAGCAAGAGACTGACTATCTAATCAATTTTCTCAGGGGCTTGAACCCAGAGTTTGAAGGAGTGAAGAAACAGCTTCTGATGCTTAAGCCTCTACCCACAGTAGCAAATGCAGTGGATGATTTATTGCAACATGAACAAGAGTTGAAAGCTAATGTGTCAAGAAGTGGTAAAAGGTCACAGACTGTGGCACTTGCAGTGCAAACCGAGGCTATCAAGGCAAATGAGTGACACACCAAAACACAACACCAATCTGCGACCAAGTGTAATCGCAGACCGGGAATGCAGTAACAGGCAAGTTATATTATCAACCCGGGGTCTAGGTCTACTGCTTACCCAAAACACAACACCAATACACAACACCAATCTGTAAAAGCAAAAGCAGAAAGAAAGCAGGAAATTGATACGGTTTTCTCAAGCAGGTAAGAGTCACTCGGGAATGAGTCCCCCTAGCTCCTTAGTTAAGTTTCAATTGTATTTCCCTGGGTTGATTTACTGTTGATTAGACTGCGGAAGATCCGACAGTAGCTTGGAATCTCTTAAGCTGACCAAGCCCTCTCAGTCTATCTACCCGGCAGACGACTAGTCTTCACCGGGATAGAAAGCTGAAGCAGTAAGAACAGAACTCCACTACTGGAATTGGATTCCAGTACAAAGCATTCAACTGGATAACTCTCGTATAGCCGATCTCCTACTACCAAATGATGAGACTCTAGCAACCTAATCAGATTCTATCTATCTCAGATTGCAGCAGGAATCAGGAAAAGTTGATCAGACTTCAATTGACTCAATAAACATGCATCATTCGATTGAAATCAAACAGTAATATCATCCCAAGTCATTACAATCAATCCCTAACATATAGGACTAGGGTTCTTCATCCCCAAGTGAGAGAGGGGTTCTACTCCATAGAGAGAGAGAGAGAGGAAAACAAGATACAAAGCAGTCATACTCATAATTATGGGAAAAATCTGCTCTGGGATGATGATTTCCACTCCTATGACGATCTCCAAGCTTGATTTGATGAAACCCAGCTCCAAGATGGCTTCTAGGATGTGTTCTTCGTCCTTTCTCTCTCTAGGGCTCTGTTTTTGCTCAAAAAGTCCCATTCTCTCTCTTACAGCCCGGAATTGGGGTAAAACCAGGAATTCCCGACTCACACGGGCAGGGCCACACGGCCGTGTGGCATACCCAGTTGCCCGTGTGAGTCAAAACGCTGCGTTCCAATTAGTTCGATCTTCAGGCTTCTCACACGGCCAGGGTCGCACGGCCGTGTGAGATTTCCATCTGCCCGTGTTTGCTCTCGGCGAAACTCGCACGGCCAAACCACTCCTTCACACGGCCGTGTGAACATCAGGGCAAACCGTGTTTGCTCTCTCACAATCTCACACGGCCAAAGTGGTCACTTGCACGGCCGTGTGAGTTGTGGGTGTGCCCGTGTGGCCTCCTTTGTGACTTGCCTCGCGCCCGATCTTCGTCCAATCGACCCCAAACTCGCTCCCAAGACTCTATTCACGTACTAGGACCTGAAATATCACAAACAAGCACAACCTAGCGTGAAATCAGCCTAAAACATGAGAAATCACATCTCAAACGGTGTAAGAACAGGGGTAAAAACATGTGTAATTAACGGTCTATCAATGAGTCTAATGAAAAGGGTCAGGGTAAGAAATACTGCAAGTTCTGCAAGAAGACCAATCACAACATTGAGGAATGTTGGACTTACAAGAGGAAGGTTAAGGAACAAGAGCAGGCAGGTGGTGTGCAACCTGGTCTTCAGAAGTTTGTTGGTTCAGTGTCTCACAGCAGTTCTAGTAGCAATGAATCACCATCTGAATCTTTTTTTCATAATGAAAGCAGTGTGGTAAGTCATCCTATTCCTGGTTTCACCCCAGAGGAGATGAACAAGCTGAGATATTTGCTGCAATATGGTGCTGGTAGCACAGGTCCACCTTCCAACACAGCCCATACCTCACCCTCTCCCCCAACCTCTCCTTCCATACAACACCAAGCTTATTCTGTTTCTCAGTACCTACCCCCATTCCCAAATTACTCAGGTAAATATGTCTTATCCTCAACCATTCAATTCAATGGTCTTAAGCCTGATGGTTTATGGATATTAGACACAGGAGCATCTGACCATATAGCTTGCTCCATAGATTTATTTACTGAGTATAGGAATGTTCAAGATGCTTTTGTTCATTTACCAAACTCCTCCAAAGTCTTAGTAAGTCATATAGGAACTGTC